TGTCCTGAGGAGCTGGTTCTGCTGAGTCGGTCCTGAGGAGCTGGTTCACCTGAGTCTGTCCTGAGGAGCTGGTTCTGCTGAGTCGGTCCTGAGGACCCGATTCTGCTGTTTGGGTCACTATGAAGAGGTTTGGTTCCTGCTGTGTCGGTCCAGATAGTCCTGAACTCTGCGGACCACCCTGCTCAGCTTGTTTGGGAGGGTCTTATCTTCAGGATGAACCAGGTTCTGTCTGCAGGTTCTGTCCAGTCCAAAAGGAACCAGGATGTCATGTCTGGAGTTCTTCAGATCTCCTCCTGGTCCGTTCTGAAGGTTTCCTTCAGGTCTGAGTTGTTGTCATTTTACGTCCTGAAGGAACCGGCTCGGTTCTGATGAGTTCTTAAATCTCGAGGAGAACCCAGATTAATTCTAGACCATGTTCAGGAGGTTAGTCACAGATTTTTTTGAGCATTTGAAATAAAAACTGATGTTCTCGGGCTAGAGCTTTAACTGTTTCCACCATGAGGAGCTGAAGACTCGGACTGAATGTTTCAAACGTCCCTGTTTGCCCAACAGCAACATTTAAACCAACCAGCTCACTTTAAAACAATAAAAAACTTTTTATAAGTTTAATAAAACAATTTCAAAACTTTCCTCACCTGCTGCTGTGGAAGAATTTCACTATTTTCACGCCGCACGTTTCAAAACAGCATCTACCACGTTGATTACCTTTAAACCGGAAGAATAAATTAAGAGGCGGAAGTGCGTCATGACGTCAGTCGGACGCACAGACGGCGGGAAACAGTTATGTTTTGGTTCTCGACCTGCGGCTTTTCGAGTGGATTTTAAGACAAAAATAGTCGTTTTTTCAGACAGGATGGTTCAAATTTTTATCAGGTAACTGCTGGTTTTAACTTTATTCTGTTTTGATGTTTTTAAATCATTACTTAATAAAATATAACCTTATCTTCCGGTTTAAAACTGTACAAAGAGTTTAACTTAAGTTTTAAAGTTGACGTGACGTAAAACAGTAATTTAATAAAGAGAATACTACTGAAGTTTATTGTCAGTCTAAATGTAAGTTTGGATAAAAATATCAGCAGAAACAAGTTCAACTCTAAAAATGTTGACTTTATATTCAAGAATAAATCTTTATTTTTATTTGTTTTGCGGAGTTTAACTAAAATGTACAAAATCCTCAACGTGTAGTAGAACATTTTTATTTTGATCCATATAAACTATATTTATGTATTTCCATGTCCTCTCTAACTGCATCCATCCATCTTTGTCTTTTTTCTGACAGCTGAATTTCTAACATCCTTCTTCCAATATACCCACTGTCCCTCCTCTGGACATGTCCAAACCACTGTCCCTCCTCTGGACATGTCCAAACCATCTCAGTCCGGCCTCTCTAACTTTATCTCCCAGTTCAACCAGTGCTGTACCTCTGATGATCTCATTCCTAATCTTATCCATCCTTGTCACTCTTAAGGAGAACCTCAACATCTTCATTTCTGCCCCTTCCAGTTCTGTCTCCTGTCTTTTTGTCCATGTCTCTGTCTCCAGACCAGACAACAGAGCTGGTCTCACCACTGTCTTGTAAACTTTTTCTTTGACCTTTGCCGACACCATTTTGTCACAAATAATTCCTGAAAAAAAACCAACAACCTGAAATTAAAACACAAAAACAGAGCAGGGAGTGTTTTTAAAGGAACAATCATATAAAATATAAAATAAACCGCATGAGGTTCTGTTAGGATGAAACAGACAATGGTCCATTTATATATTGTTTTATAAAGTTTCGTAAAATTTACAAATCTTTTACCTCAATGAGGATGTTTTTATTTCATAATGGAAACTTCCAGAAACATTATGAAACATGGATTTATTCGTATTTGTTTGTTATTGTCTCAAACACAACATTAAAATGACTTAACTCTGTTCATAATTAAGAACAAATTTTATAATTCAGGAATGTTACAGATCGTTTGCGCTTTGATATTTACCGATTCGTGTGACGGTTTGCAGAAAGAATCTGTTTTATTTTATTAAAGGAAACATGTTTGATGCTTTGATGTTTCCTCGTTCATTCATGGTGGTTCTTGTCCTGCAGGGGCAGCGTGGACGGCCAGGGGCCTCCAGAGTGGCTGCTGGTGGAGCTGCAGGGGGAGACGGTGTCGCGGCACAACGCCGGGCTGGCAGGACACGTGATGGGCGACCTGCTCTACACCAACGAGGTACACATCCTAAAGTCAGACCAGAGTCAGATGACTCCTCTGTGTTGCACGACTTGTTGATAAGATCAAACAAAACACGAGAACTGGAGGCCCGGCCTTTGATCAGTTATTATTCTGTAAATATCTAATAAAGATTTGGTCCTTGACGTTTTCTTCTGTACGTGGACAAACTTTGTGGTATTAGTTTAGAAAAGCAGTTTTTTTCATCTAAACTCACGGTTTCTCTTACAGGAACGTTTCTCGTGAAAGGTTCGGTTCTGAAAAGGGGTTAAAGTTTGGGCCTTGTGGTGAGGTTCTGTTCAGCGTCTTCATTTTTCAGAGTTGATGTTGTACCGTTTGCCCACCAGGGAGTGCCGGTTCTGATCGTAGGACATCACATTCTCTACGGGAAGCTGGTCAAACTGGAGAAACCCTTCGCCGTCCTCACCAAACGTCCGGGACACTCGCAGGACGGAGGCGCTGATGATGTCAGTCAGGTTGCCATGGAAACGGACCAGCATCAACCCTCCAGCACCTCGTACTCCGTGTCTGCGCTCATCAAGCAAAAACTGATCTTTAAGACCCGACCCAAACCCATCATCACCAACGTGCCCAAGAAGGTGTAGAAGGACGTCCCGGTCCACTCCCGAGGACGGGTGGTTGGACTGATCTGACCCAGTCTGAGGCTGCCCGGGTCTGACCCAGTCAGATTTGGGTCTCAGATTTTGAATTCATCGCTGGTTCTGTGTAAAAATGCTGCATTTCCACAGTTTTTTTTTTCTTTTTAATGAACTGAACTCGATGCTGTTTTCTCTCATTAAATTAAAAGTTCTGATCCGATTTTATTGGATTATTTTTTATCTGCAGTATTTACTGCAGCTCTTTTGACACAGAAATCTCTGGTTCTAGTCTGGATCACGTCTTTGTTCGTCCACTCTGATCAAACTGGAACCTCTCCTCCAGTGTGTGTTTTAACACAGATATTCTTCAAAATAAGAGTTCAGACCAGAACCGGACCAGAACCATGGGGGCAGCTGTTTCTGAGAGACATGAAAGAGTTAAAAGGATCGAACGTGTTTTAGTTTTCCAGAGTGATGAAGGTACGGCCTGCTGACAGGTTTGTGTGTTTGTTTGATGAAGGCGTGCCGCCTCCCGGTGAAAAGGCGTCCTGTTGGAGCGCCGGGGCTGAATGGACCGATTCATTCAGCTGCAGCTCCGTCTCCGCCCACACGACTCACGTTTATATTCCTCTGTGTTTACAAGTCAGACGGGTCGGGTCGGTCAGAACTCATCTGGAGGTTCTGCAGAACATCCTGACTGAGACTGAAAGACACAAACACTGATCCTGACTGAGTCTTCAAAATTATTAACTTTGAACACGTAAACAGACTGGAAAGTTATAACTCCATCCCTTCATCTGTCCGTCACTTCATCATCCATCACTTCATCCATCACTTCATCATCCATCACTTCATCCATCCGTCACTTCATCCATCCGTCACTTCATCATCCATCACTTCATCCATCCGTCACTTCATCCATCTGTCACTTCATC